TATATATATATTACTTTTTTAACAATCAATTAATTCATTTTCAAATTAGTTTATTCTGGTTAGTCTTCTCCATATAGGAAGATATGACTTTAGATATGAGAAAATAAATAGACATAAAGAATAATAAAAACAATATATATAATTTTTTTTAATGATTTAAATGTGAAGTAGACTGCAAAGAAATAGCAAAGACTTGACGTTATTAAGAATCGAGAATGTTGATTCCGGAATCAGTTCTAGGATAAGAATAATAATTCTTAACGCGTTTTCACTAGTTTTTTAATTATATTATTTTACATACTAATTTTATTATTTTATTGCTTATTGTTTAGCAAATGCTATCTGTGCACATAAAATAATGAAGTATATCCTTTTTATTTCGATGTGCATATCTTTTATTCTTTTTCTTGCACTATTCGTTCTTTTCAATGCAGTCCTTTTCATGGTGACATGCAGAATTAATTTTTGCCTGCAAATTATTCACTCTCTCTCTCTCTCTCTCTCTCTCTCTCTCTCTCTGGAAATTAAAAGAATTCACTTTTTCGACTCCAAGCTTCAGTCATGCTTACCTATATCCTATACTAAGAGAAAAATATTAGCAAACATTATTTATGACGTTTTCTTCGATATTTATTAGTTATAAAAAGATTTAATTATAATGACATAATATATATTTCTGTGAAATATATATATATATCTCATTAATAGTAAAAAAAATTCAATTGATGGCTTATTTGCTAAGAATAAAATTTTATTTTATCGTATTTACATAAAAATTTATTTCAGGGAAGTAATACATTTCTCACAAATAAATTTTTATCTTTTTCTCAGTGTAGTAAACAAAAAACATTTTGGAACATTTCAGCAACATTGTTCAGCAATGTTGTAAAGAATTCCTAATTTTAATAAGCCTTAAATATAACTGCATGATTATGTTATATTTTTCTAGTCATGAAATTATATTATTACATATATACTTATCCTTAATAATATTTAAAGTATATTATTATATTTAATAATCTGTTACCCGTCTATTTCCCTTAATAAATCACACATACACATACATACGTATATACCTTTCGAAAAGAAAAAAAAAGAAAAACGTACATAAGACATAACACGCGAAGCGGCTACTCTCTCTTCATCTCAAGCCGGCTATACAAGCCCGCGGATACAAAAAGGAGGAAGCGCGCGTGCGAGATATTTACCTTCTTATTTCCTAGCAAGGAAATTCTCCTGAACATAGTCTGTCGTCTGATCTTAATTAGCTCATAGATATCCGTCGAGCAGCAAAATAACCTACGTCCATTTATCTACTCCTCGTATATACAATAATTGTTGAAAGCTGGCGATTCTCCATCATACGGACATATCCGTAATAATCTTTCTCAGGAAGTATAATTTCAAGTAAATACGCGTATCTCTCATTACTTTACACATAGGTCACGTGTAGAAGTCTTTAGAAAAGTGCCCTATGGCCAATGAGACATTCTTCATGTAAATGAACTTTTTCTCGATGATCAATTATCAGAGGTATATAACTAGTGAACCATATGGCGTAAAACACGCTTTCTCGCAAATATATATTCATGGTCATATTCTATCAAATCGCGTTAAATTCACACTTGCATTTTATTTAAACACTTAATTATCTGAATCGCGAATTTTCAGAAAAAACTCATTTCAAATTTTCAATAATATAGTACTTCCTATTTATATATATTTTTATATTCTTATATTTTTATGTATTAAAACGAATGTAAAATGTAACTTTTGTGTATTATATACCTAATATCATCATTAGGAATATGACATTAAATATAATTTTATTTCAGTTTATGTGAAACACGATCGATTCAGAACAATTCCAAGTTGTGTGAAAATAAAAATCGATGCTTATTGTTAATGTGCACAATCAAAACTGAAATGAACACCGGTCAAAGCGAGTAAGCGGATTCTCGTATCGAGAATGCGACGAATTCAATCGGCTTGTTCTTGATCTTTTTTTTCTTTCTCTCTTTTTCCTCTCACAGAGAAAGTACATACAACTACCTGAGAGCATTTGCAATGTCGTTGTACGCCATATATTTTCACGGATACGATGGACAATTCTGATACTTTTTTAATTTCTTTTTTACTATTTATACCAAAACTTTTCGTAGTGAATAAAGGTACTGTCACATGACAAATTATTATCATTATTAATAAAAAAAAGTATAATTTCTTCAAAAGAAAAAGCCTAATATTGCGATATTCAATTTTGATATTATTTAAATTTACAATTTATAAACTTTCACACATATTTGTATAATATTACTGTTCAAGTTATTAACAGAAAATAATTTAAATGGAAGAGTAAAATTGTTTCTTTATAATGCATTTAATAATTATCTTTATCATGTAACGATATAAACTAAGTCGCATTATTATCACTTGAAAATAGTTTAACTCTTCTTTTAATAGTGTGTTCTTAGTTTTAATAATATTTTATTGTAATCTACATGTACACAAAAGAATCTAAAAGATATTTTTTAGCCTTAACAAATCTCTAGTGCGTTCAAGAAGGTTCTTTAAAAAATAAATAAATCCTGCGGAAGATATTTGCGCTTTACTTGATTGCATTGCATCACCCTTTATAAAATATTTCAACAGAATAAAGAAGTAATGGGTCCTCTATTTTGGTTTCAGAGGCAGCCTGCTACTGCTGTGTATATTTATTATCGTAGTGTCAGCTCTATCGTCAACAGTCAACCAGTTCGATATTTCCGGTAAGCGTACTTTATCGTAAAAAAAAAAGAGCATTACTTGTCTTGCGTTAATGCACATTACTCATTCATCTCACACGTCATTCTTAGCGAGGTGACGCTAACACCCCGCGGCCTGATTTCGCCATGGACTTGCGTCGTAATATGTATATAATATTTTCAATCTATGCCCACAGCATCCTCACAAATTCTGTTACATTCTTAAAAGAAGGAAGAATTTTGCCTTGCTTACAATATCATTCTCTTTAATGGATAATGTTGTCAAGAGAATTAAATTGGACGTTCTATACATAATAGAGAGAATGACTTGTACTGACATATGGAAATAACGATAATTACAATCAATATATATGCAGAAAATGTACAATCTATTAGACGGACATATCCGACTCGACAATTAATAAAATCTGACATAAATATAAATATAAATGTATCTACTTTGCGAAAATAATATGTGAAATCAGCTTTTTTAATTGGCATTGGAAAAAGTAATAGTTTTTACAAAGCAGATTTTAAAAGTTTGCACAAAGAATTAGAAAGGACTCAGAAAAGAAACGTGTATTAAAGCTTCTTTGCATAACTGCATTTTTTATATTGCCTTTGTTTTTTTAAAACGCACATAATATATTTAAAAAAAAAAACAATACTATTTAAAATATTTTGCGGAATATGAAATAGAATAAAGCTTTATTTATATTTATTATGAGCATATATACTTTTTTAATAGGAGAAATAAAAGGAAAACCATGACCATTCCGGTGATTAACATATTTTTTATATTTGCATAAATGTAATTGACCAGTGTTAACCTTTATAGCTGATGGTATATTATCTTTGGTAAGGAGCGTTGAATAATTTGCAAGAAAACACACGCTAACTAGCCTTGCAATTCTCAGAAATCCTTTAACATTTTTCAGGATGCAGGTATCCGTCAAAATTGATCTTGTACAAAAGACCACAATTATGTGATTGACGAAGCAGTAAGCATATAATTCTTTCATCGGCATTTAATCGAATATGCTAATTTTCATGGTAATTTCGTAAAAAGAGAAAAAAATTATAAAGATATACGTTGTATACTTGGTGCTGTCGCTTTCTCTCTCTCTCTCTCTCTCTCTCTCTCTCTCTCTCTCTCTCTCCCTCTCTCTCTCTCTCTTTCTCTACTGCTCGAGCTCTTAACACATTTGAATGAATCAAATAACGCATCCTTAGAGGACTTGCTCTAGAATGTTAATTCTAATAATAAATAAACATTGTACCTATCTATCTACAATACTTTCCTTCTAAAAATTAATTAAAATATATACAAATAAAATACTTTGTAAAAAAATCTATTTATATAAACACATGGATTTATTTGTGAAATATTGTTTGTATCATATTGGTCTACGATTTTGTTTATTCAAGAGTAAATTGCCAAAGTCTAATTACGTAAAGGAGGAAGCGAGTTGGTAGTACCAATTTGAAGGAAACGAAAGACAATAGTGAGACTGCTCTCACACACATGTTGACACGTAAAATGTTACGAGAAATTAGAATTGTAACATTGTACGATTACATCACAAATCAGAACAGAAGGAATCCTTGTTAAGGATTTCAATAATTATTATTTAATATTTTTTCATATGTGTATGATTTTTTTTTTATTCATGTATCTTGTGCATGTGTTTGGCATTACGACATAGGTATTTTAATTCTGAAGCATGTGTATAAAACATATATGTATGTCAAGGATTTCCTATTTACCTTATTCTGTTTCAAATATATGAGAAAAAGATATGTACAATATGTACGATAAAAAATTTTTAACTTCTACAAAAATAATTATTATTATTGATAGAATAACTCTAATATTTTCGAATGTCTGCACATTTGAGGAACTAAATTTACTGGTTAAAATTATAACCTAACATGAGATAATTTTTTATTTAATAAAATAATAAATTTATGCTTTAGATAATGTTCATAACGCGATTTTGCACTTGATCTTTGATGTATGTAAACTAAAAGACATAAATGTATAATAACAGCCTGCACATTTCTTGTTACAGAGTACGTCTACGGAGTAGATCATGATTTGCAAGCGAGAGCACGTTCGGCCATCGAGGCGGAGAGATTCGCCTATCGATCGTAAGTTACTCTCTGTTTTCGAAGATACAGATTTCGCTAAAAAGAACTTTGTCGTCCGGCCGTAAATTCCTGAAAAATGCATCCCAGTGAAAACACGCGTACTTTCCCAATCATGTCGATTAACGATAATATATTATAACGTAATATATTATATTATCAGTCTGATTTGTTTTACCTTTATGAATTCCAGTGGCGAAATGGAAAATTTTGCCAAATTGACTTTTATATAATCTATCTATTTTAATAAGATCCGTGATAGTAAAGGAATTCCGAAAGCTATGTTTACGCGCGCATATAGGAACGCACGTTGCCGAATGTATAATGAAGTCGGGTCACGAGAGAGAGAGAAAAAAAGATGCTATTGTGGGCGTCAAGGATAAACGGTCTTTCTCGCTCATCGTTAATAATTAATGAGAAATTAATTTTCTGGTACGCAAAAAAAGAATATTCACTTCTAGATGTTATTTTTCTATTATTCATGCAAGACATCACTCAGAAATAAGAATCACAAAAATTTTTGATATCACTGTCGTGTGATATTTTAATATCTATTACTTCTTTAAATCTTTCTAAAATTTATATGAATAAGATTTGAAATTTAGATGTAATAACACGTATATTAATTCAATGAGAGTTTTAAAGATAGATACATTCACATTAGCTGATAGCATAAAGCTGATTTATTACTTTCTGTTATATACAATTTTATGAGATTAGATACCTATATTGGAGATAATAAATGATTTTAAATCGCATGGAATTATATGAATGTTTATCTATATTTTCAAAAAAATAAAAGTACTTAAATATGTATAGTATTAAGAATGAGTAAATTGAAAAGCGAAATACTTTACTTGAGATCAAAATTAATTAATATTCATAAATATTTTAGTTTATTTATATGACACGGCAATTGTATGAGTAGTAACATAAATATTGGGTCGTCCGGAAAGTCCGTGCGTATTTTCCGCACGGACTTTCCGGACAACCTTGGGTTATCCGGAAAGGTCCGTGCGGAAAATACGCACGAACTTTCCGGACGACCCAATAATAATAAAAACGAATATTCTTATTTTTTGGCATCATGTCAAATAACATAAAGTATATTTGATATACGTAAAACAGCGTTCTTCAAATTTACTCTGTGTCTTGGAAAAACGATTTTGGAAAGAATCCTTCGGGTTGAAAAGATTTTGGAAATTAAAAAAATACATTTACGTTATGCATAATACGCGGGTTTTAATTAATGTATCACTATCTTCTGACGTCTGCCAGTGGTATTCAAGGAAATTAGCCAGACAGTCGGCGCGACAACGGTTTACATAACATTTTTATTTTTATGATTAAACATTTATTAACAACAATTAGCATGAAATCGCTGTAAAGATGCATAAGAATGCAATCTATTTGCATCGTAGACAGCATGAAATATTGAAATATCGGGTGTTTCACATCAAATAAACAAAATGCCGCGCGTTAATAATATAATTTACAACGCTGTGTGATAGCTGCTAAGTCGCTAGGTTTCTCTTTTTCTCTTTTCATCTCTTAAAAATTTAAACTAAATCAATATACATAACGGAAGTTGAAAAGTAGACATTGCTGTAAAACTGCCAATTTGTTAGAGATGAACAATGTTGACCACTTTTTCACAAGAATATATTGATTTTATATTATAAGGAAATTGATTCCGCAATTGATTTGCAATTTATTTGCATCTTTCACGCACTGCTGAGAATAAGTAGTCAAATTTCTTTTTTTTTTTTTTAATAAAATATTTTTCAAAATTTCTTTTTTTTTTCTCAGCAAATTATCTGATTTTGATGTATATATAGCATCATCGAGATTCTAAATATAATTCACGATATTTCAAATGAGAGAGAGAGAGAGAGAGAGAGAAAGAAAGAATCTTTTTCTGGAGATACATTGTGGGAATAACATTTCATTATATACGCACATTATTTTCATGCATTATTCTAAATCTTCCAACAAAAAAAGAAAAGGAAAGAGAAATACATATTACATCAATATAGATTGATAAAAAAATGTATCACTTATTTAATTCTAAATAAAGAAAAGCGCCGATCACAAGCAGCGGAAGTAACTCGTGTATCAACAGATCTATTAGGTTTTTTGCTTCTCACGAGAATGGGTTTCTCGTTTATTGACTTGATCGACGAGTTGTCGCACGTGTTTCAACACGGACTGGTAACATTAGAGAACGACAGGCGACGATCATGGCCACGTGTAAATGGCATATCTTGTAATGTTCATGCGTACACACCTCCTGCCGCGACCAGCAGCCTTCTCGAGGTCGAGGAAAAGGAATAGTGACGGCAATGGTTTGCACGAGAAATCTTCCTCGTGACTGAAATGCCGATGCCGGATCGGTCGACACCGGTAACTCCTTTCCTCGACCATGAAAGTAAAAGCGCGCGCTGAGAAAAAGGGGAAATGGAGCAGGAAGGACACGTTCAACTTCTAGCGGAACTGAATTCCGTTCTTTCATCTCGAATAAAAGGATGCGTAGATAGTTGAGTTCCGTGATGCGAAGAAAAAATAATTTTGCCAACATGTCATTATTATGAAAAGAATTCTTATAAGAGTTTTATTTGCAAAAAATATATCGTGTCTAGAAGACATTGTAACTATGATAAATTGATTGTCATTTCGTCGTATCAAAGCGATTTTGTCGCGACAATAAAATTCAATTGTCATGGATAAGCTATATTTTGCTTTACAGTAAATCAAACAGTCTCGCTCTTTTACAAAAAAAAATGTATTCAATAAGATTTATTAAATTCCATACCTCAAATTAAATAAAGAATATAATCGAAGTGGTATTATCTCTCTTCAACTTGTACAATAAGTAGCTAAGTGCATATATATTTCTTTGTTTTCCTATTGAAGGATCTTCCTATTCAGATCCAAATGGCTTTAATTCTTATGTAAAATTTTTATATTGTACAATATCTCAATTCATCAAAGACATTTTCTCTTCCAATCAAAGTAATAGTTATTTAATTCTCCTTCAAAACATTATTCAAAATGTTATGATAAAATTTGTTACCTTGTCTATTCAAGTTCCGATGACGACAATAATATGACAGTAACGACGTATCTTATTCCAAACTGAAAAGTTACAGATCCGGATTTTGCGTCGCAATACCTCCGTTCATAGAGCATAGATTTGTTTTCTGTGACTGAACCAGTGAACACTTTTGGAACTTAAAATGAAATAGGTATATATTTCTCGAAAGCGAGAAAGAGCTAATTTTAGTGCAGGAACAGAAAACAGATCACATGTCTCCAATAGAGAGCCTCACAGGGAGGAAGTGGTAAACTGTATCACGTGACTCGCTTCTGTGATTGGGTATGGGCATCAAAGCTCCATAGGCATGGAAGAGATTGGAGAAATCTAGTCACGTGACCTTCGTCCTGATTAGATGTGGGCATTCACGTGATGCAATTTGCCACTCTCTCTCTGTGAGGCTCTCTAGTCTCCAGATAATACAAATCCGCTAGATGCGTTTCAAAGTTTACATTTTCTTGATAGTTCTATAATAGTCAGGATGTGTTATATAAAAAATTTGTATCTTTAACCGTTAGGGATGTCGCGGAGTGAAGAAATGAAACTCATACCCTAACTAACCTTTCAATCACGTGGGAGCCCTCGTCGTAACAGAGGGTGTAATTTATCGCGGTATCTTTCTTTTGATAATTCTCTGCCTTTAAATTTCGTTTTGTGAAAGATCTATCTTGCCGAATGAAATAGTTGCTTTCCTTTTACCGATTCTCAAATAATTCTCACTTGTGACGTCACAACTCTGTTAAATGCGCGTTTTCCTTTTACAATACATCCTGACAAATGAGATTCAACTAAGCTTTTATCTACAACCTGCACACAAGATCGAGACTGTGTGCTTTAGTGAGTCTCGTAAGCTCACTAAGGTGAAGTTATGACCTGTGTTATCATGTGATAACTTTTTACTAAAGTATGACGCAGTAGTGACGTCATCAGTCTGATATAAAAATACTCAGGTCACTTCAGACTCAGTTTTACTTATGTGTAAATGGAAAGCAATTATTGTCAATGAAAAATGTACATATATGTTATTAAATTCTTAATTATTAATTATACATATATGTATACATTAAAGTTTCATATTCATTGTAATATTAATATATTTAATTTTTATGAGAGAATTAATTTAAAAAAAATATTTGCGTTAAGAAAAAAACTTAACAAAAGAATCGATATGCCATTTAGGGAACGTGCTATAATAATTACATACAGATTACAGATCAATAAAATTTTAGCTATGAATATCAATTGTTATTGTTTAATAGCAAATTTCTTTAACATGTTTGTGAGATTATTAAAGTTTCGAGTGTGTTTTGTCGCATCCTAAATAGCGAGATTATCCAAAAACAGTATATTTATTGTTAATTGCCAAACGTTTCATCGTATTTTTCTCATTATAACTATCGTATCTCCAGATATATTTCTAAGAAGAGAAACTTTAACTATAACAAAAGATCTCTTTTTTTATTGCAAAATTCAGAAAATAATATCGACCTTAGTGATAATATTGCAATTACGATAAAAAAAGAAAGAAAAAAGGAAATACGGGAGATAAGTTATGTAAATACGAAAGAAACAATAGAGAGAAAAGAATGATGGAAATGGAAGTAGATAATTGCTATATTATGTTAACGAACAATTACTGTTTTACAGGAAATTGATTGATATATTACTGGGAAAAATTACTATATTCATTCTGCAATGTCGAGTATGAAGTGGTAATTTTAGTAATAGACTATTACATACACATTGTATTAAATTACTGAAGATATTCTTGGAAATTTTAAGCGACCTTTATGACATATTTTCTCGCACATTACTCCAAGTGATTTAATTTTTTGAAACTAGGAACCTGAGAAAGCTTCTTCTTTAACTCTCGGACGTATTCTTCAGAAGACTGTTAGGGTTACTCTTGATCTTGTACTTAATTGAATAATAAACAAAAAATTCGCGTATAAATATAGATTCAAAAAAAGCAACATTTTCACGATGTAAAGGGAATGTACGAATTTGAAAAGTGACGAATACGTTCAAGTGATCTAAGTATCGCCAACTAATCCAGCTAATGTTATACTCGTATATAATTATTCATTGAAAGTTCGATTTGTATTCTCAATGCCGAAACAGCAAAAGAATTTCCACAAAAAGTTCAAGTATTAATAAAATTTTCGGAATATTATATGAACACTCTTCTTGGAATATTATTTTGAGATTTCAGAAATATTTTACGAATATTTTAGGAATATTTAGCGTTACTTGGGAAGAGTTAAAAAATATCCGTTGATTTTTATCATGTAAGCTGATATGCGTTTGCTATTAGATTCCCTTCAATATCACTGTTTGTTCATTCAGAAATTACAACCTTTATTTCTCTTTCTAGGCGGGCAAATAAGATACAATTAGTCAACGCAACTTGCAGAGTCCGGTCAGAAAGGCCCTGTCCACCGAGCAAGTACAGAACACCGTCTGGTGCTTGCAATAATGTAAGACATCCTGCCTGGGGTGCCAGGGGCTCCCCGTTCCTCAAATTACTGCCATCAGAGTATTCAGATGGTAAGAAAATGCATAATATATCTTTGATATTCTTAGCACGTTGTTTTGCATAAAAAATAAAATATTAAATCGGCCACTCAAATAAATTAATAGAAATTAGTATTCATCAGTCTACATACACACACACACACACACACGCGCGCGCGCGCGTGCGTGCGTGCGTGCGTGTGTGTGTGAAAAGTAAAAAAGAAAAAAAAGGTGCTTATAATTAATTAGTCCTAACACATTTATCTTAACACTAGAATATCGACATTTGATTTTCCAACGTATGATTTGAGAGAAAGTTTATACATTAATATTAGAGTAACGTGTTCTCTATGACTGAAAAATATATTTATTTGCTCTGATTAATTAATTTCATTAGCCTTAATCAGTTAATGTTAGATTTTTATAAAAGCGACAATATATTGCAATATTGTCTTTTTATTGAGCATTTTTAATTATCGTTAACAATAAGTTGAATTTAAATACAACAATATTTTTATCGATTTTCTGTTTTATACATCTTATATATTCTATGGTTCTTTTTTCATAAAATATCAAGATTAAATTCGTGCAAACGATTATAGCTAATTATTGAGAACTCGACTCGTTGACATTTATACTCGTCGCGGTTACAAACTTGGAGCATTAAGTAGAACGTTAATGAACGTTGAACTTGAACATTGAGAATAGAAAACGAAAATTAATAATAAAACATTCGTGTTTTCAAACTATATCTCTTTACTTGGATGTCAAATTAATATTTATGAAGAACGAGGACCTGTTTCGTTATCGTAATACCATTTTCCCCCTTCTGCAACTGATGCAGTACCGAGAATGGAAAGTGAAAATTGGAACGCGCGTGCTAGTCAGACAAGTGAGCCTAGATCCACTTGGCCGACTCGTTTGGTATGGCCGATACGCGCAGCCTTCTCGAGGCCTTAGAGAAGATGGATTAGCATGCGGAAAGGTGCACACGCGTGCTCGTGGGCCCGTTGAAATAGAGAGTTTCGTGAGTCGGGGTCTTCTCTCCCGCCTTGTACATACGCTATATCAATTGCGACATCGTATAGTGCCCGCGCAATGCGAACAGTATAAAATAATAGAGATTCTTACACACCACGTGAATCCACGTTCGCGCGATCGTTGGTGCCGGCCGTTACGTGCTCGCACCGCGTAACACCGTTACTTCTTTCTTTCAATCCCTTCTGTTTTTCCTGGAAAGAAAAAAACCTCTTCCTACCTCCGGTTGTGTTTCTTCACCGTGGCATGAATGTCGCGGTTTGTTTATTTTATAACACCCGTACTGATCTCTCTTGATCACTTTCATGTTATTGTTTCCGGGACATTCGTTTAATGATGGAGATTATGATGGACATGTGTACATAATCGTGGCAGCGATTTTGTAAGAAATTTGTATAAAATTATATCTTTTGTTACATACATTAGAAATTTTTAAACACGCATAAAATAATTTTTGCTTTTTGCTCATTGCAAAAATACTTATTTTAATTTTTGTTATAATAAGAATCAATCAGGAAGAGACGTAAGATCAGACTTGTGTAAGATCAGATTTAGATCCATTTATAGTACATGAAAATATGAATATCGGAAGATAATAAATTGTGAAGTCTAATTTTTAGAGTTAATTTAGTTTCTTGTAAAATTCTGTGTTTAAAATTAAAAATTCACAAACCAAATTATACAGACAAAATATATACG